TCCTGCTGTTTCTCCTACAAGACACTGAACACTTTGGCCCACTGTTAATTTTTAGGTTGAACTTTACTCTCCAGGTTACCTCATTCCCCAGCAACAGTCAGGATGGCTGAGCTTGCAAAGCAAAGCCCTGACAGTTCCCACATTTGAATTCTGACAGAACCAGAGGAAAGGCATTTCCCAGTGCCTCGCCTCTTACTCCAATCACATACGTCCTCTTGATTGGAGCTGCTAGAGAAATGATGCAAAGAAATCTGAAATTTTAAATTTTTTTTAGTAGCCACATTTAAAAAGTAAATAGCCCCGGCTGGTTTGGCTCAGAGGATAGAGTGTTGGCTTGCAAACTGAAGGGTCACGGGTTTGATTCCAGTCAAGGGCATGTACCTCGGTGGCAGGCTCCTCCTTGGCCCAGGGTCCTGGTCAGGACGCATGCAGGGGGCAACCAATTGATGTGTTTCTCTCACATCCATGTTTCTCTCTGTCTTTCCCTTTCTCTTCCACTTTCTCTAAAAATTAATGGAAAAATATCCTTGGGTGAGGATTTTTTAAAAAGTATAAAAAGGTAAATATAAAAAAGCAAGTGAAATCAGTTTTAATACTATATTTTCCTTAACCTAATATATCAAAATGTTATCACTTCACACGCAATCCAAATAATAATTAGAGATATTTTGCATTCTCTTTTTTTTGTACTAAGTCTTTGAAATCCACTGTGTTTCACACTTAAAATACATCAAAATTTGACCCTGGTCCAATAGTTCAGTTGGTTAGAGCATCATCCCAATGTGCCAAGGTCGTGGGTTTGATCCCTAGTCAGATTGTATATGTGCCAAGGTTGTGGGTTTGATCCCTAGTCAGAGCGTATAGAAGAATCAACCAATGAATGCATAAAAAAGTGGAACAAATCAGTATTTCTCTGTCTCTCTAAAATCAATTTTTTTAAAAAAGTACATCACAGTTTAGTCACATGCCAAGCCCAATGCAAACAGCCTCTCACAGTTTGGACTTTGATCATTACTGAGTATGTGAGCCTCTGCCTACATTCTTCATTCATTCTTTGGTCAACAAACACTGGGGTATGTATTATGCACCAAGCATTATGCTGGAAACTGGAAATATAAAAGTGAATCAGACATTGATTGTTCTAAAGCTCAGTTTGTGAAGGTGAGAAACAGGTAGAGACCAAAAAATTGTGAGTCATGCATGACACAGATGCACTATTTTAGCAGCACCTTAGAGGGGAAGGAAGTGACGAAAAGTGTAATGTTAAAAGTGGCCCTGAGCTGCCTTCAAGGATGTGTGACTTTAGCTCTGTGAAGGGGGTGGGAACGGCATTCCAGAGGTGCCAGCTTGAGCAAAGGCACTGAATGGGGGGAGAGTGGGGCTCAGGGAACCTCCTAGGAGTGCTTGTTACAGCAACGGTAAAAGAAGGACGTGGATAGCTGCGTGGCGCCAGTTGCCACACTTGGTAAACTGTCTGGATTCTAAAATAAAAACCTCTGACACTTCTTACAATTTCGGAAGAGACGAGGTGTACATGGCACCATATTTAGGCTTTTGCCGGCAACAGTCGCCGCTCCTCAGCACTGGCTGCACCATGAGGGCAGGGCCATCTGCTTTGCTCACCACCCTACCCCAGGGCCTGCAACACAGCCCGGCACAGAGTGGGCGCTAGAGGCTTTACAATAGCTATTTCCTCCATCATTCGTCACCCTTCAGCCCTCCCCACCGCCCTCCGCAGATTGGGAAAGGGGGGAGATCGCTAGCCAGGCCCGTAATC